TCAATTCGCAGTACCCGCTGCAGACTCAATAAATGTACCGGTCGCACGTGGTGACTCACCACGTGGAGGATTCACGACAACAGGCGACGTATCGACTGCTGCCGAGATGTGAGAGGCACTTTCCGCGGCCGCACGCATGCGTGCAGCCGCAATTCTTGCGGCTGCAGTAGCAGCTCGCGTGGTTTCTGAATCAATGCGTTATATTGGCAAATAAATAAATTTTGACCAACAAGTGCTCCTTTTTCATGTGATCCAACGGTAATCACCCTGTCCAAATTAATTCTAATTTAATCAACGGGTGATTGATGGTTAAGAAGGATTATGTAACGGAATAGCATGTTACAATAAAAATGACATTAAACGGTGTCAACAGGCCTATGTCTAGCATGACAATAATCTACCAAGATTATCCGAGATGGATAATATTGAAGGAATTTTATCCCCTTTCGGATAAAATACATGCGCTGCTCAAAGAATGGTTGATATAAGACAAATCAACCATATATTGCCACCAATCGCTGCTAGACGCGCTCAGTGAGTGGTTAGCAGGTTGTCGCCATACGACGGCGTAGTTTAAAGCAGTTAGATAAAGATTAAAGTTAATTGATAGCTTAACTATATCAAGTAAAGTTCTCATTTTACCCATTACTCAGCTCGGTCGTTCAAGTATATTAGCTTCTACTGCACGTACTAGTGCACGTGAAGTCTTACGGCACCCCGAACAAAGGGTGCCCCGCTACAGCAATGATCGCATTGACATCGTTAAAGGCTAAGATATCCACTACTCCTATTTTGAATTTTTTTTTATCCCGATCGACCGCTTTAGATTGTAGTATATGCTAGTAAGTGGGCTGTATCAGCTGCTTTGCTTTGAGAGTATGAAAGCGTGTATTGTCCCGTCACCTTTTCGAGTCGCACGCTAAACCCAACAAGCTTAACTACGGAATGGTGGAGAAGAGGTGTTGGCTCTCCTCCGGATGCTAGACATCTGTTATACTATGCTGGTGCCTCGGGGATAATGGTGCTGAAGCGACATTCGACAATAGCGTGGTTACTACAATCGTCAGGCCTTAACGTAAGGTAAAAATGATGGGTGCTTTCTTATTGAACTGGACGTTGGCAATTAGGCAATCGGAGAAGAGAGAAGATGAAATACTCGGCATGCTGGCGGTAAGTATAGCACCTCGGGAAGAAGTAGGTGAAGTATTGATTGCGATCGCCCCAAGAAAATAACCAAGGCAGACAATCAGCATGCTACAACCTGCAGTTGGGGTGAAACAAATTCTGCTAGTAGCCAGTTTCGATGGATCTGCCAAAGTGAAAAGAAAAGGTGAAGCATCAAACGCGATTTTATGAAAACTGCCAGAATAGGCGATTGTGGCTGCGGCTTCCGAGTATACCCCTGACCTAACCGCAAATGAAGCGGGATATCGTGGGCTGCTCTTAAGTTTCGATTCGCTTGCCGATCAGGCTAGGGGATGATCATCTGTGAAGATTCTAATTTAGTGATTCGTCACATGCGAGGAGAAATCGACTGTAGAGGGCCGGGATTGTAGTTGCTGAAGGATAGGGATATGGATAAATTAAGACCATGGCCATCTCTCGAGTTCTTGCACATGAAGAGGGACTGGAATTAGACTGCTGATCGACTGGCGAGTAAAGCTCTACGGCAAGAGAAATGGACAGTCGTTGTTTCCGATCAAGAGCATCAAGACCTGGTCACTCACAATCGGTGAAATATATTACTAAATACCGAATAAGTCGATTGTCTGGTCAAAGTAAAGGCTATCACGCGATCAGCTTAGAGAAGACGTTGTCAGCCCAGGATATTACAAAAGGAGGTGGTGCAGGAGATAAGGAACGGCTATATAAAACCATCACAAGAACATTAAAGTTAGATATCTAGTCTAGAGACATATCTGGTTGGAGATACAAACAAACTATCAGCCGCTGAAGCGAAGGTATGTTTCCTGATCGCGCCGGTCTTTAAGTGGACCAAAGTGGACTGCTGTTTTGTGTCCGAAACCAGCCACCGAAGCTAAAGATCTCACTGAACTGGCTCGGTTGGTGGTGCCATATCGATTACAGCGAGACTTCTTGCATCATTACCACACGAGTGTGGAGGGTGGTAACCTAGGGGTTGGTCGTATTTACCAGCTAATTAGAGCGAGCTTACATTGGCGTGGGTTGTACCGAAGTGTACAGCGGTATATGTGAGTGTGCATAGATTGTGAAACAGGAAAGGGAGGACCGAGGGATCGAAGTGTATCGCCTGGTAATACGCAATCGACATACCCATCTCAAATTATAGCTATGGATCAGATCCCCACGTTGCCAAGATTGTTTAAAGGATATTCCGAGCTGCTGCTGTGGGTCGATCTGTTCACGGGATACAAGATCGCAAAGGCAAGCTCGTCCAGATCTGCCCAGACAATCGCAAAAAACTACGAGGAGTGTGTTCGACGATTCGGTGCGTGTGAGGCGATACGCCACGTTCGTGAGCCAAAATTTATGTCTGATTTTTTACAAGCATTCAATCGTATCGCAGGACAAAGCCAAAGGGCCACTATGGCGTATAGACAGCTAGCTAATGGAATGGCCGATTGCATGGTGCAAACGCTGACTGAATAAATTAAGATTTATGTTATGGATGAGAATAAATACGACTGGGACAAATATGCGGAGCGGTTGACTTACGCGATCAACACCCCTCAAGATCGAATTCGACGAGATAAACCATTTTACTTGATTCATAGATGGGACCCAAGATCGACCTTAAAAGCTACCTTGACGTTGGAAAGCACCAAGCTCCGGGATCAAGATGCCCGAAAATGGAGATATGGTATGCAACGCCATAACCAACGTGCGCGGGCGCTGGTGAATGAAAGATTGGAGGCTGCGATCAGAGGTTGCGACGGTCGGCACAGTTAAGATCGAAATTCATTGAATATCGATCGCTGTTCGCATGTTTGACTATATCTAGACCAGGTCAAGGAAAGATATACTCGAAAGCTAGCTCATATGTGGCATGGACCTTTCCGAGTGGCCGAGAAGTGCGGCGATCACGCCGTAAAGTTGGAAATCGCAGGCACGCCGTACCGTCTATTTCCAACAGTCCACTTGTCCAAGCTGAAGCTAGTTCAACATTTCTAGAACGCCCGACAGGTAAGCTAAATGTGGATGAGGCGAGTCGGTTTGATTTTTACAAAGCGTTACTGCCGGACGACTGCTGGGAGGGTAACCTTGACGCGAATGAGTTTGAAGTGGAAAAGATCATCGATTTGCAATCAGGACAAAAGACGAGGTATGGAAGAATTCTAAAACAGTAGCTAGTACAATGGAAGCAGTACATCTAGATGACCTGGATCGATGAAGCTGGTCTAAATTGTGGAGCTATGATACAAGAGTTTGATCGCGATCGGGTGAGCAGGAATCGTTTTGAGATTATGCAATCGCACGAAGAAGAAGATGTAGACTATCAATGATTGAAGAGCTTGGTTGGATGGGCATATGCTAAGTAAGTGCATGTACAAATGGGAGAGTTATGGATGCAAAGGGTTTGTTCATGGAGATAAAACGGAATTGACGTAAATTGAGTACGACGATCGCAGACAATTGGTGCAATTACGAAACTTGGAAGGAACAAATACGAATCATGGGAGAGATCGAATGGACATGAGATAAAGAAGATATTAAAAGATCTCGTTATGGAAACTGACCTAAGATATATTCACGGTCAAAGAACTTACCAACCAAGCGAGGAAGAGAAGACACAGGGTGAGAGGCGATTAGGCCACGAAATTGGTTCCTCCAACGCTCTGCAGCACGATTGATCGATAGGGCGGTGATCAGATCAGTAAATTGGCATGCCTTACAGACAGGGTGGGATACCACACTCTGTTTTCGTTATGACGGGGAAAGTAAAGGAACATTGGATCCAACAAGATGTCATGATCGCAAAGCCCGTCGATGATTCCCTGAAAAACCGCCTGAAACCCTCTCTTCCATCGCGGGCCAGCACGAGATCGTCGCTGCCTTCTTTGTTGAGCAAAGGCAGCCAACGCTGGGTCCGATTTGCGCTGCGCAGGGGAAATGTACTCGAAGTGTTTTAACTCTCACAAAGCTTGACGATGGCTCCGCGAAACATTGATACGCGCCTTACATGTTTTATAAAAAACCCAGATAGCTTAAACGAGATCAGGCCTACAATCTGATTGTACGCATCCCATGGTTGCTGATCGTAGAGCTGCTAAATCTTGGTGGGGGTGACCAGATGGGAGGACTAAGAAGACTTCGGAGTAGCACGACTCTTGCCTTGAATTTCCGGGAATATGTCCCATTGGCCTGGAAAAATGGCGGAAGAACGTGCTGATGTCAAGCTCCGACACGCTGATCAAAAAAAATATTTCGAGCCGACCAAGGAGATTCGTCCATGGCCGATCGCGGAATCCGATCGCAATACCCCGAAATCCAGCGATCGCGAGGTATGTTGGTGTGTGTGAGCTCCAAAATTTCTGCTGGAGACAATAGTGAATTGCAGGGGCTCCGAGGATCACCCGAAAGGCTGAGAGCACCATAAGACACTAGAAGGATCTCCAAACAATTCCGTCATGGATACTTCGCTTGGCAGTAATAGAGGATTGGAGTTCCATACGGAGAAAATCGATGTTGCACGGCAACGATTTCTTGGAAGGTGATGATTTCTTGTGAGGCGAGGGTTTTTTGGAAGGCGACGTAGCTCTACGTCGGGCGGCAAAGCGAGACAACGAAAGCGCCGCCAAAAGTGAATTATCAGTCTCCGCGGAAGAAGAATCACAGTGTTCGCCACCCTCTGATTCCTCGGGCAACGGAGATCGAAAATCAAACGGGTTAGGGGAAGCCGATCGAGGTGGAGACTCTGCACGATCGCTGGCCTTCGATCGCTCCGACGATAGCGATTAAGAAACCGATGAAAAGAAAGCGTTGATCGACCCGGCGACGATTTAACACGATGAACACGCTTAGTTTTCAGCTTCCCGGACTTCGAGGCAGGAGGCCATCGCTTGTTTCGAAGTGGAAAAAAAAGTTTTTGGACGTAAAGCAGGCGCAGGCGACTGATTCGAAGAGGCGCTGGCGACCAGTTCATCCATGCGAGTGAAGACTGAATACTTCGACTGAAGCGCTTGATCACGTTCAGCATGTAACTCGGCCATCTTTTCTGCTGATTGGCTACAGTTGCCTTCCCGATCGGCGAGATCTCGGTTGAGCCGCTTGCGTTGAGCCGTAATACTGGAAATCTGGACTGCGAAGCTATCGCGTTCGACCTTGATTTCACCCATGTCTCGCTAAGCCATCGCTATAACCCTTGCATGATCGCGGACTGGCGGGCTAAAAGCGATCTTGTGCGTCTCCGATCTGTAGTTTCGCTTGAACATTGGCGTCCAGGGAAGACGAATTCGCCAAGTCCAACTTGTCTTGAAACGCAGCCGGTTGACGAATATGATTCTCTTGCTCGGCATGGCGGGCCGTGTCGAGCTTCAAGAGAGCTGTTTTCTAGATCAGATTTATACAAAGGCATTCTTCTTAATCATCCAACTCGTAATGGAATTCTGCAATCTTCCGCTCGGCGTCTTCCAATTTGTCACGCATATCGTGATAACGCCAGTTGACGTATTGCATGATCGTTCCTGCGAAATGTGAACATCATGCAGCTGCCGTTTCAAGGAATCACCACAAATTTCTTGAGCCCTTAATTGATTCTGAATTGCGCCGTAATCGTCCAGAATATCCTGTCGGGGCTCAGTGCAATCGAAGAGGTCATTGATATACGACTGCAAGGTGCGTCAATCGACCGCAGGAAGGAAGTTCAGTCATCCGCTTGGAAAAGACGCAGAAGAACGCAGTGGGGTTGTTGCTGGCGGTGGAAAACTTAATGCATCAGACGGGCCCGGGCGGGAAATCGACCGGTCGTCGGAACTCTCCGTGCTTGTGACGACGGAACAAAGTGAAATTTAAGAGCGGATGAGACAACTGACGAACTGCACTAATACAACAACAATGTAGGTCGGTTATCAGCGCAGAGGACGGCTGTAGTGAAGTGATTTTGGACGAAAGAGCGATCGATATAGGGAGTGATCTCCACCGGCGACAAATCGCTGGGGGGGATTGTTTGGCTGATAAGAGGCGCAATACTAAGATCGAACATCAAAGTATCGAGATCGAAACTAACGATACCGAGAGTGAATATCGCAATACCGCGACTTAATATCTCGACTATGGGATCGAATGTCAATTTATCAAGATCAAGCCAAGGTACCGATATTGAGAAAGTATAAGATGTTCCAGGTTGGAAATATGGCTGACAGATCGGAAGATAATAAGATCTTGGAAGGCGGTTGACAGCCAGTCCAAGATATCGAGATTGATCAAGAAGACACATTGATCAAGGAGATCGACTATCGAGGAAATTAACGATCGGACAGATCAGCGATCGGACAGATCAGCGATCGGACAGATCAGGTATTGGCCAAGGAGATCGACGATCAGTGATCATCCAAGGAGATCGACGATCAGCGATATGCCAAGGAGGTCGACGATTGGCGATCGGCCAAGAAGATCGACGATCAACGATCAACGATCGGCCAAGGAGATCGACGATCGGCGATCGGTCGAGGAGATCGGCAATTAGAGATCGGTTAAGAAGATCGACGATAAGCGATCGGTCAAAGCGATCGACAATCAGCGATCGGTCGAGGAGATCGTCGACCATTTTAAAAAGTGTCATTCGGGGAGAATGGAGACCGAAGAGATTGGCGATCTGTCCGAAGTGGAACATGCATGCGAAGATAAATCACCGAAAGATAGAGGACACGTAGCAGAACTTCCTAGCATATAGACAGGCACAGTCACAGTCTTAGCTACAGGTTAGTTGACATTGAACAGGATCCTATTACCTTTAAAGTACACGCGTCGACTTCTCTTCCGGGTTGGAATATTGGCCTCCCAACGTACAGAAAGTTACGCATACTAAACCCAAATGATATCCCCAGATCATTGTCTAGGGATCAAGAATTCTCACCCCCCTCCACTGCGATCGGACGCTGCAAGAAAGAAAAGGTTAAGATGCAAGATCGCAAGACGGATCAAGTGGTCAGCAGGCTCGCGTATCAAGCATCCACACAGTGGACAAGGCGATCTTGGTCAGATCTGGGTGACTTATATCAAACACTTTACAAGTACCCCGTGATCGCGCGAAGTCTTCCGCCAGATCACACCAACCCATTCCAAACACGGTCAAGTTTTCTATCAACACGAGTCCACCGAGAAGAGTGCAGTCCGCACTACCGACCGGTACACAAGGTGAGGAAGGAATTACAAGACACGGAAACGGAGTACCCCCTCCGATAATCGTTCGTCTGGGCACCAGTGGAGAGCCGGGATCGCCTCATAGAATGAGCGACCGCCACTCCAACATATTTATCGCTCAATCCTTGTATCCTCATTGAGGAAAATCTCATCCATCGGTGAGCTACTGAGAACCCGTTCATTTTTGGTAAACACTTGTGCCGACCGAATTTTGGCGACGTACTCGTCCTCTGTGACGAGTACGCAAATCTGCTTAATCTTGTCACTATGTCGATCTCGCGAGAATCTTTTGATTAGAGCGTTGGCAACTTGACTACCTCCGAAGCTGAATTTGGAGGTGTAACCAGATCAAGTGTATAAGCGCCTACGCTTGATTCGTCATCTACCAAGACATTCACTGTCTCGGTGCTTTCCTGGGAAAGCACATCCGCAGGTGGTAGGGGATCCACACCCTCAACAAAACTCCCTCGGGAGTTATCCCTATCAGGAATGCTGAAACCTTCTTCTAAAACTTGTACTGACTGTATATGCACTACAACAGTCACGTCCTTTTCGATCGACTCTCTTTCATTCGATCGGGCTTGCTCTACGACCGACGCTCTGATAGTCGATCTTGCTTCAACGGGTTGTTTATACTGAACAATACTAACCTCTCTTCTCGGATGCACCCTTCTTGGTATGCATCCGTCTTTCAGTCCACTCGATCTCTTCTAGTGGTGAGCCTTCGGCGCATCCTGTGTCTTTACACAGGTGCCGGAAGCTGGTTCCACAGTGCAGTGGCCTTCTACACTGTGATCTTGTGCAGTAATACTAACGACCGTACCACAAGTGAGGCCATCGCACTCCCTTGTAGTCCATCCACACGCTTGTGGACGCTCCAAGACGTTAATCAGATTGCCATCTGATGAACAAACGGTAGGCATCTTCACGGATCGATGCTGACAGCTAACCCATGGCTGGTAATTTCTAAGCCATGGCAGACCAAGAATGACATCAAATTTGTCATCCAAATCTAATACGATAAAGTCATCATCGTACTGCTTCCTTCTAGCGTGTAGTGGATTCCCACTACACGTTTTTCACTGTTCCGGATGCGCCTGTAGCAAAGCACACCGTCATCCTCGTTGGAGGGAACTCTGGCATAACATATTTGAGTTTACTATCCTCTAGTGACTGGCGTCGAATGAAACGGCTTGACGCCCCACAGTCAACTAGGGCGCGAAGTGACATTTTACTTGTCACTTCGATCTTCTAAGTGATGAGGGACACCTCATCACTAGGGGCAGTAACACACAGCGACGTTGTGTTGGGAGCAATCTTCGTCAAGAGTCCTGCAATTTTTCTTGACGTTGCTGGATCAGCAGGGTGCTCCGCCCCTACTGACCCTGACCTTTTTTTTACGTCCGACTTACTGTTGCGGTTTAGCGATATGGTTGGACCCGCGCCTTGGACCTTTCCTCGGCCAACAGTGATCATCACTTCCTGTCTATAAACGTGTTGCAGTGCTCGAGACACTACACTCATCAGCGAAATGTCCAACTTTCAGACAGCGATGGCATCTTGTCGTTCGCCTGTGACTCAGAGAGCGAGAGTTCTCGCTCTCGATGTACTAGAGGTCCATTGGTTCGGAACCTCCGGTTTCCTGTCGTCTCGTCGGACGATAATTTGACGAGTCAGCCTGAGACTTTCTCAGGCTGAAGTCTTCTTGTTTGGCATACGCTATCGCCTTTTCTAGCGTAAAGAGGTCCTCTCGGAACATGTAGGTCTTTACCGGTCCATCCACAAGACCGTAGATGAACACGTTGATGAGCGTGTGCTCATCAACAGGGTTTTCCGTAACGCTGCTCGCAAGGTAGCGTAGATGCTGTGCATAAGCTTGCACGTCACGCTTACCTTACTTTAGACTCAAGAGTGCAGAGCGTGCTCTAAACTCGGCTCTCGACGGCTCAACCGTCTCCATGAGCCGAGACTTCATGATCTCCAACGACTAAAACAAGTTTGGGTCGTGAAGCTTGAGTCCTAAGGCCCAATTCTTTGCTCGACGTGTCAAGTTTGACAGGGAGAAGGTGACTTGCATCTCATCACCCTCGATATGACGGGCCCTGATGGAATCGTCTGACTCGACAAACCATCTCAAAAGAAAATCTTCATCGGTTCCCTTGTACCTTGAGATATCTATCTTCAATGTTTCAATTTGACGCATGTGCGTCGGCCCGTCCATCGACTGGCGAGAGCCTTGCTGCTTTAACAAGGCGATCTTCTGTCTTTCGACGGCAAGTTCTTCGTGTAGGAACTTGTTGATAGCAGCATGTTGATGGTCTTTGTTTAAAGACTCCAACATACCACTGATGGCGGGTTTGCCCACGACCACACTCAAGCGGCCGACTACCGCCATTCTGAGTCACTCAGGTGGGAGTAGCCTTCACGTGTGACGTGAAAGGTTTCGTCTTTTACGTCCAACATGAACATGTTGGACGGGCACGGACTAGTCGTTGGAAGGACTACAAAGTGCTACCGGGTGTAACGGGGCACCCTTTGTCTAGGTTCCACGAAACTTCACGTACACTAGTACGTGCAGAGGAAGCTAATCTACTTGAAAGACTCGGTCAAGTATAGTTAAAAAGAGAGCTGGATTTAGTATAGTTAAGCTATTCATTTAACTTTGACCTTTATCTAACTATTTTAAACTACGCCGTTGTATGACGACAAGCTGCTCACCACTCATTGTGCGCTCTAGCAGCGGTTAGTGGCAATCTCTGGTTAATTTGTCTTACATCAACCAATCTTTGAGCAGCGCTTGAGTACTATCCTACCAGAGGATAATTTTCCTTCGAAATGCCGATCTCGGGTATTACTGGCTGGGGTTTGTCACGCTAGACAATATTCCTGTTGACACCGTTTGATGTCAATATCATGTAATGGGCTACCCCGTTACAGGGGATTGTCACGATAGACAATCTCTCTATTGACACCA